GCAGCTTTTGAAGCAGTCATCTCCCACTCTAGATGTGCTTGAGTACAGGCAGGTTGACAGCTGTGGGTGCTGTCATGATGATGAAGAGTAATTTGAACATTCTTTTAAAACTTCTCTTAATACGCTAACAACTCCAACACCATCATTCCGATTTTATTGGGGAAGAAATTGAGAGCCAAGGTCAGAGCCAGTCTTTGGGCGCTCCTTTTTCCTTCGGGTACACTTACCCTTCTCCCTTACAGTTTTCCTTCACAGGGAAGTCTGGGCTACACACATGCAGCCCCAAATCTAAATCCCTTTGTCCTAAAGAACTGATGTCCATAATAAATCTTATTTTAATAGTTGGTTAGTGCTACTTTTTCCCACTAACTCGAAGCATAATCATTTTAAGCACACAATAATTTCAGACTAAGTACTTACAAGAAACTCTCTTCAGGGGCTGGAGAAATGGCTCAGCAGTTAAGAGCACTGGTTGCTTTTGCAGAGGACCCAGGTTTGGTTCCCAGAACCCACATGGCAGCTAACAACCATCTGTATCTCCAGGGTTCCAAGGAGGTCCGATGCCCTCTTCTGACCTCTGTAGGCATTGCATGATGTGGGTTTACTTACATGCATGTAGACAATATACTCATACAAATAAAATAAAAATAATAAATAAAATATTTTTAAAAGAAACTATTTTGGTAATATTTATTTGGGGCAATATTTATTAATATTTAATTATGACATACATTTACAATTTTAAATTATATTTATATTTTATTCATATATATGTAAGAGTGTATGTGGTATATGTGCATGTGTGTGCCTGTCCTTGCACACACTCAGGTGTGCTGCTCTGCCACGCTCCACCTTATTCCCTTGAGACAGAGTCTCTCACTGAACCTGGAGTAGGCTGGCAGCCACCAAGTTCAGCAGTCCTTCTATTTCTGTCACCCACAGTTCTGCCCGGTTGTTTTATGTTTGATCTGGGGATTTGAACCCAGGTCCTCATGCTTGTCTAGCAAGCACTCTTACCCTGAGCCATCCCCCTACCCATTTTATTCTTTTACAACTGAAGCTGTAAGTAATTGAAGGGAAATTAGAAAATACAAAGAAGCAAAAATAGAGACATGGGCCAGGTGTGGTGGCACTTGCTTGTCATCCCAGCATTTGGGAGATGGAGGCAGGAGGGTTGGGAGTTTTGAGGCTAGCCCATCTCAACAAACAAAACACAAATCTTTAAAAAAAAATGAGGTCTCCTTATGCAGCCCAGGGTAGCCTTGAACTTTTGACCTATTTTTCCGTAATATTTTTATTATGAACACCTTTCCATGTCAAAATATACATACGTATGTGTGTTTTTACATCAGACTCTATGTTTTATCATACAGTACTGGTAGACTTTTGATGGTTTCTACTTTATTATTACCAATGATGCAATGAATATTCCTTTAAAACTATTTTTACACTTGGGCTAGAGAGATGGCTCAGCAATTAAGAGCAGTGGCTGCTCTTGCAGAGGACCCAGGTTCAATTCCCAGCACCCACATGGTGGCTATGAACCATCCTTAACTCTAGTTCCAGGGGAATCTGAAGCCCTCTTCTGATTGTCATGGCGTTGCACGACATGGGTGCACTCACGTACATGCAGGCAATACACTCATACACATAAAATAAAAATAATAAATAAAATATTTAAAAAACAAAACTATTTTTACACTCATTGTAAACTATTTTACACAATTCCCTAATATAAATTCCTAGAATGGAAATTACTGAATTACAAAGATCCATCTACTTAAAGTCTTTGATTAAAATTATGAAAAATTGTTTATCAGAAAAAGCATGTTTTTATTTCATGCTCCTTATTTTGTTATTTTGAAGTTTAAAGCATTTTTAGGAAAGTTAAAAGAAAGTACAATGTTAAATTGACCAGTTGGTGGTATTTTGCCTTAACTTGACTAAGCTATTTGAAAGCAGGTAACTTTAATAGTAGTAGGTTATAAATTATGATGCTTCACCCCTAAATACTTCAGCATGAATTTCCTTGCAATAAGAGCACTTTCTAGCCAGGCATAGTGGCACACGCCTTTAATCCCAGCACTCAGGAGGCAGAGGCAGGTGGATCTCTGTGAGTTCGAAGCCAGCCTGGTCTACACAGCGAGTTCCATGACAGCTGGGGCTACAGGGAGACCCTGTCTCAAAAAGGCAAAATAAAAGAGCACTTTCTTATATAATCCATGTAATCATTATCAGAAAACTAGCAATAATTCAATGGTACATAATACCATCTTTATTTATTTATTTTTATTTATTATTATTTAATTAATTTATTTATTTTTATTTACTTATTTATTTTGGTGTTTTTGAGACAGGATCTCTCTGTAGCCCCAGCTGGCTGGAACTCACTATGTAGAGCAGGCTGGCCTTGAACTCACAGAGATCCGCCTGCCTCTGCCTCCCAAGTGGTGGGACTAAAGGTGTGAGCCACCATGCCCGGCTGTTAATGTGGACTTTTAATCTGGCCTTTCTGAATGTGTTTTACATATTTAATTGGTGTAATGATGTAGTCCTTCTAGCCGAGTTATTCTTTATTGTTTTGTGAACTATCTTAGAGATTATACATAGGAATAACAGCCACTCACACTGTTCTGTGCTGCTTGGAATTCATAAATAATAAGTAGGTTATTAATTACCTTCACAGTTAATGAAACACACACACACACACACACACACACAATACTATGTGGGTCTCGTAAATTCTGAAGTTATTATTATTCCCATTTTATGGAAGGATTACCTGAGACTTCATACAAATTGCTCAAGAACAAACCAATAATGGAGGCCGAATTTATAAACTCTGGACTGTTCCAAATTCGATCATCATTCCTGGGCATTCTGCTACTTAATGCCAGAAGTTGACCAAGGGGCATGGGAAGATTTTTTTTTTCTGGGCTAGTTGGTTGAGTTTAAGAAGAAATTAATTTCTTGGTGTCCTAGAAATTAAAATTACACTTGTGGGTGTAAGGGACACAGACCTATCCAGCAGTCCAGCCTGAAGTGTCCTCCCCTGGAGCACTGTACCCTTGTTCCTGCACAAAGAAGGAACAAAAATCTCAATCCTGAGATTGACTCTTTCGGTATTCAGGCTACAGCAGCATGTAGCAGCCCACACATGACAGGAAGTGGAGAGGAAGGGAAGGACTGTTGACAATTCCCTTTCCCCATCTCTCCTCAGTGAGATGCAGGGCATCTAATGAAACGTGAATTTGGTGAAGAACTTTTTAGTGTTCTTGGCATTTGTTAAGTCTGACAACCTTATTTCAGGGTGGGTAGGGATCCCAAAGTTTCAGGGGCACTTACGTATATGGGAAGGTGCTAGGAGGACACTGAAGACGGGAGCCCAGATGGCTCTGCATTTGCCATCTGTGCCCTGTGTCGGCCATGAGGTAATAATTCCAGCACAGGTGCAGAAGCGGAAGGAAGGTCTCAGAGGGAATTCCCACAGTCTGGCAAGGACTGATGAGGGGTTGTTTCTGTGGTATAGAGAATAGACCTGGCCTCAGGTGAGGGCTGAGGCTGATTTATGTGATTTCATTTAGCATTTCTGTTAGTCTGTTTTCACTGGTGAGCATTCAAATCTGACCAGGAAGTTAAATTACCTTTTGGGATGGGTAAACTTGAAGGGAAAAAGGAAGGAGCCGAAGGCAGCCTCCACGTGTCAACAGAAAGGTCTGTGAGTGGAGTGGAGTAGGTGAGGAGTTTCATGTTAGCATGGTGCTGTGGCCCAGGAGGAGACTGCGGAACTGATCTGTAGTCCTTCCTGGGGGTGCCTAGGTAAGGATGGGGCAGATGGAACCCTGGGCCAGGTACTTGCTTCTAAGATGGTGTAGCACAGGTAAGCCTTGCCATTGGGCTATCAGCTCTCACATCAGGAGGGCTGTCACAGTAGCCTCCAGAGCAAGAAACTACCCAGTTATCCACCCTGGAGCCGAGAGAGGGAGACCTGGACTATTCTCTGCCCTCAACTCTCAGTCCCTTTAGAACCCAGAGTCTTTTCACTGTGAAGATGGCGATGCTGTATTATGGTTCCTCTTCATTTGAGAATTCTGTTGGTATACATGTCATTTCAAGCCTTCTAGAGTGACTGGTGTTCTGTGTGCACTGGCCAGACAAGAGGGCTATAACCACACTTCAAGGATCTTTAATATAGGGCTGGATAGATGACTCTGCGGTTAAGAGCAGTTTCTACATTTGCAGAGGACCTCCGTTTGGTTCCCAGCATGCACATGGGGGTGGCTCCCAGCTGCCTGTAACTACAGCTCCAGGGGATCGCCAGACCCTCTTCTGGCTTCCACTGGCACCAGGCATGCATACGGTACACATATACACATGCAGGCATTCATACATACACATAAAATAAAACAAATCTTTTAAAAAAATCTCTAATACATCCAAAGATTGCTTTTTCATTTTCAAGTTTTTTTCCTTAACCGTTTTGGAAGAGAGATATTTAAATGAGTTAACCAAACCAATGAGATCTATTTCTAACAGCCTCCTATTAGCAAGAACATTAGTAAGTCTATGGAGTCCAGAGGCTAGAGTTAGTATTTCAATCATAGCTTATCCTTCATTTGTCCATCCATCCATCCATCCATCCATCCAAGGTATATTTCTTGAGCTGATGTGTGTATCAGGCAGAGTTGAGGTATAGGGAGGAAAACTTTTGCACTGGAACCTCCCAATGACCTCAGAGCCCTTGGGATTTCAGGGTTCCGCTACCTGTCCATCAAATGGTACAAGCAAAATGAAAATGAGTTCTTGCCTATGGTATCAATGAAAGGTTAAAAGTGTTGGCTAAACTGAGGTCTTTGAATAGTCTGTAGGTTCCCACTTCTTTGTAGGAGTGGGCTTCAGAGACCAGACATGGTGGAGCTAGCTGACTCCTTCAGCCCCATGCTAAGCAAACCTCTTGAATATCTGGTCTTATTCCCTTCTTCCTGGTTTTCTGTCCACAGTGCTGTGCTTGAGATGGAGTTGCTGCCCCTTTGGCTCTGCCTGGGTTTTCACTTCTTGGCCGTGGAATGGAGGAACAGAAGTAGTACAGCCATGGCAGCTTCCCAAGGAGGTTGCAAGGTGGTGAGTTTCTCCTTAAAGTCTGATTTCTCTGTGGCCGATGTCCTAACAAGGTTTGGTTTTCTTGGAAAACTGAGGGGTCGCCAATCAAAGAGGGCAGGATGATTCTGACTCAGTCTTGTACCTACCTAGCCCGGTGCACATTCAGGTCTTTGAGACTGTACTTGGGAAGGACTCGGCAGCCTTCCCAGCCTTTTCATTTGTGCTGGAGACCGGAGGCCCCAGAGACAGACTTAGGTCTGCTCTCAGCAACAAGAACAGAATACCTGGTTAGTAATGGAACCAGAGTCACTGAGGGAGACACACCCACATTCTGGAAGTCTGGCCTGCAAGTTTGTGTGTGAGCAGACACTAACAATTTATTGACCCTGCAGAGAGAGTTCTGCTGGAATAGCTCTGCAGAACAATGCCCTTAACCAGGCTTAGGCTTGAGAAGGTCTCGAAAGACGTTTCTGAGCCTTCCCAGCTGCCTTCTGAGCTCTTCTAGCCTGCACAGGGAGGTAGATTTAGATCATCATTAAACTCCTATCCAGAAGTTTGCTCCTTTGCTTATAACTGAAGAATTTCAAAGGCCTGTTTGAGAAACATGTGTTTAATAAACATTCTTTGAATTCTATTTTATCCAAAGAACTGGAAAGACAAATCAGAAGTCAGGGTCAATACCAAGCACCTATTTAGCTGCCTTTCAAGACATGTTTTTTTTTTTTTTTTTTTTTTTTAGTGGTTTGGTGCTAGGGAAGGAAGGTGTTCTTAAAATTGATTAATCTTAAAACTCCTGGTTATCATGGTTCTGAATAGCTTATGGGCAGCCTGTAGCCACTGTGCTTGAAGACACTTCAGTGTGGTGTAGGAGTTACCAGCTGGGTCACTAGATTTAAAGCCTAGCTCAATCACTGATTAGCCGGTGACACAGAGTTCTACTGTGCCATAATTTCTTCATCTGTAAAATAGAGAGGCAAAGATAATATTTGCTAGACATGGTGGCACATCCCTGTCACCTCAACTCTCAAGAGGTGGAGGCAGGAGGCTCAGGAGTTCAAGGCCAGCCTGGCCTACATGAGACCCTTTCAGTAATAATTATAATATCTACCAATAGCACCATGGTGATTGAATGAATCTGTGTCAGACACTCAGGCCGATGTCTGGTATGTAATGAGCACCGTATGCTTTACCGATTGTCATTACTATGTTATTATCAATCTCAGCTACATTTGACTGCTACCATTTCCTTACAGAGTCAACAGCAGATTAACTTCACAGTAGCTATTCAGGGGTTATCAGGCAAAGGAAGAGAATGAAATAAAGTATGAATTCCTTAGCCACTTTACAGGACTCAGTCTAACTGCCTAGTAGGCAGGAGTAGGGGCTGGACCATCAGGAAGCTCAGAAAATAGAATTCCTCTGGCTCCTATGATTTGGCGGCTGAGAGTCTGAGAGCCCAGGTACCCTTCACTGGCCTCCATTGCATTAGTCATTTGACCTTGATAGAAAATGGGCATGGTTAAATTTTCTGGGGCCTCTGATGACTATGTGGTCTTTGCAGCACTTTAGTGGGGCCACGAGAATTACAAAGGTGTGACCCTTTTGACTACATCTATAGTGGAGAAACAGAGTCCATTGCAGATTGAGGAAAGCCCCTAACCACAGCACTCTCAAGAGAGTCCTCATGAAGTGGGAAACCAATATTTACTTAAATAAAGAACTATGCCTCATCTCTGGTTGCAGAGATTCAATTTGTAAAAATGTCAATTCTCCATAGATTAATGCATAATGGTAGTACAATCCCAATAAAAATGCAGTGGCCTTAGGCAGGGGGAGTGGAAGTGGGAAAGAATCTGACAAATTTATTCTAAGGTACGTGGTAAAATTAAAACCAACTCAAATGCTCAAAAATGAGTAGATTAATCAATTAGAGCATGATGGTGATTACAGCTAACATGCTAATATTTATTAGACATAATAAATGTGTTTAATATAAGCAATTGCATTCACTCTTCAAAAACAAAAACCTATGAGAAAATTATAAGCCTAATGGTTAGTGATTTTTTTATCTGCAGCAGAAGCT